GAGGGCAGCACTACCTCCTTCCCCTTGCAAGAAGGGACTAATTTAGCAGGTGACCAGGGCCGATCCTCAGGGAGAGTCCACCTGGAGGGAGACAGGGCAGGCAGCCAGGCGAGGGGTGATCATCTGATAGCAGACAGCTGACCATGGCAGGGAGCGGGAAGAGCTCACATACACACATTGGTGAAGTGAGGGAACTCCAGCACACAATATTAGCTGATCTCCCCTTGTCCTTTGCTTATACCTCCACTGACAACCGCCCAGCTGTCACTTGTCCTCCACTCCTCTCCCCCTGGGTGATCGGTGATTTTTTACCCCCCATGCTCCAGCACCACCTCCCTCTGGGTCTGTTTGCAGCGAGATCACCAAGGAGCCGGATTGCAGACATCTGGAAACAGCACAGCTCCTATGACAGGAGTTCAAGAAGAGACTGCAGCTGGTGGAGTGGATCCTGGCAGCTGTCCTTCTCTAAGACTGCCAGGTGATGGTAACAATCACACAACATCTCTCTACCTCTCTTTTTCCCCCTCTCTCTCTCCCTCTCTCTCTCTCTCCCTCCCCCTCCCTCTCCCCTGTCCTCTCTCTCTCTCTCTCTCTCTCTCCCCCTCCCCCCCTCTCTTCCCTCTCCCTCTCTCCCTTCCTCCTCTCTCTCTCCCTCCCCCTCTCTCTCTTTCCCTCTCTCTCTCTCCCTTTCCTCCTTTTCCTCTCTCTCTCCCTCTCCCTTCCTCCCTCTCTCTCTCCCTCTCCCCTGCTCTCCCTCCCCCACTCTTCCTCCCTCTCTACTTTCCTCGCTCTCTCCCACTCCCCTTTCCTCTCTCTCTCCCTTCCTCCCTCCCTCTCTCCCTTTTCCCTGCTCTCTCTCTCCCCCGCTCTCCCTCCCTCTATTTCATTCTCCCCCTTCCTTCTCTCCCCCCCCCCCCCTCTCCCACCCTCTCTCTCTTCCCTTCTCATCTCTCCCTCTCCCCCTTTCCCCCCTCTCTCCTCTCCCTCTCCTCTCTCCCCCTTTCCCCTCTCCCCCCCCCCTTTCCTCTCTCTCTCCCTCTCCTCCCCCCCCCTTTCCTCTCTCTCTCCCCTCTCCCTCCTTTCCTCTCTCTCTCCTCTCCCCCCTTTCCTCTCTCTCCCTCTTTTTCTCCTTCCCTCTCTGTCTCCCTCTCTCTCTCTCCATTTCTCTCCCCTTCTCTGTCTCTCTTTCTCCCTCCCTCTCTATTTATTTTTCTTCTTTCTATCTCTCCCCCCCCCTCTCTTTTTTTCTGTCTAAGATGAAATAAGAAAAAAGAACCACAGCAGATATTCAGTGATAACAGACTAATTAAAGTGGTACTAAACCAAAAATGTAATATTGTCACGGTCAGGGGTCAGGCTCGGAGGCCAGTAGCTTTAACAGCAGATATGCTCCCACCGACCAGTAGGATAAGTAGACAATCATGACACCCTGGTGCATGACACAGGCTCACCCGAGGTGTGGGGTCTAAGCACTAACCGGCGTTCACCAGAGCTCCTGATTGTAGAGATGGGTTTTGCTGTGTGTTAGTACCAGGTCATGGTCCTCAAGATTGCCCCACCAGGAGATGAGCTGCTGGGGTCAAGTAGCAGATGTAGAAGGTAGGGATGAAGCAGAAGCATAGTTGGTAAACAAGCCAAACTTTGGTAATAAGTGGTTGCAGATTGAGATCACGCAGAAGCATAATCAAGGAACAAGCCAAAGGTTGATAACAGCGGGTATTGAAAATACAGATGACAGCAGGAGTGACAAGAGCAAGTTATTAGCTTGAGACAGAGCACAATAATCTGGCAAACAGGAAGGAGCAAGATTTCAAAGTTCACCAGAAAAGGGTACAAAAAGGTACAAAGCAAGAATGTCCAGGGAATTTTCCAGGGAGCAGTCCAGCATCTCAGGTAGCTGTCTAATCACAAAGTGTGTGGAACACCAGGACCAAGAAAAACTTCAGATGAGAGGACCAGGTCCTTAAGATATGTCCCCTTGCAATAGCAGGCATGACACAACTACAGCCACGTTGGCATCACAAAAAATAATATGCCACTGATCAATGACAGCATCCTTAACCAGCATGCTGTCATTGGAATACTGAGTTGGTCCTGAAGGTTTTTATCTTTTGGGTGGGCAGTATCAGTAGCTGGAGGAAGAGCCTGCCATAAGAGTACTTCAGGAGGGCTTCTAGGGAATACCATCTTTCTGTAAAGCGCTGGATCATACCATCCAATTGAGTTAATGCAGTATCAGATGGAGTTGATCCTAATCACTCTAAGCATTTGGCTAAAAGGAATTCCCCCTATAAGGGATGGAGGATGTGCATTCTGTGAATGAAGGAGGGTATTCCTGTCAATGTCTGACCTTTACACTTGATGTGAGCGCGTGTGGGTGGTAATGATGGGAAGGGTTTTAGGGGCTGTGTTGTTCTGTTTTAGTTCACTGTTGTCCCAAGGAAGAGGAGCTTGTGCCTCATCAAAAAGTTGAAATAACCCCTGCTCACTGAGTGTTCACCTTTCAAATATATATATATATATATATATAATATATATATACACATATACATATACACACACACATACATATACACACATGCACACATTTACACTGTCCTTAGGTGTAGTTATTGTATGATCTTTTCTTTTAACTTTATAAACAACACATTCCTGCTCTGTGACAACATTCACTCCTCCAGTGTATTTGCAGAGACAGCCATTGTTGACAACCAGGCTGGACATCAAACATGTCTGCCTTTGTTCATCCTGATTACATGGTGGGTTGATTGGATGTACAGTTTACACAAGAGATATAACATTGTTTTTGCTGTCTTTTCAGTTCACAGAAAGTGACAAGGACACTGCATTTCTGGCAAGATCAGCATGTATTTGCTGAAAATGCTATTACCTGAAAAATGAAAACTAATGCAGTCACCACATCTAAGGTCTAGTAAGCTGCAATATATTCTGTGGACTTGGATACACTTTAAAAGCATTATTAAATATCATTTACTATCATAATATCATTTCTGGAAGGGCAGACAACCATCCTATAAATAGGAAAACAGTGTCATGACAAACTTTGGCACAAGGAAAAACAAGCTAGCAAGATGTGATAATACTAAGCTTAGGTGAGGTATTTTATTAAAGCTGAATATACAGATCGAATATATATCTAATAGCGAATGCTCCGTAGAGTACCCTTGGCCTACTAGGATATGTGACATGGGTATCCCTGGAGGCTGCAGACACTGTAAATCTAATTCCTGGCTGTCATGTTAAGGCAGTGGATCAGTACATTCGGATTCACAAACCTGGAAAAAGTAGACAGATTAGGAGCTAGAACTTCATTTTAATTTTTTTTTTCTTGTTGGTCTGTCTTTTGAAAAGAATTAAAGTAATTCTAAAAGGTTGTATTTTTTTCTTAAAATAACAATCATGTTATACATACCTGCTCTGTACAATGGTTTTGCACAGAGCAGCCTCAATCGTCTTGTTTTTGGATCCCCCGTCGGTGGACCTGGCCCTTCCCCTCTGGTGCTCCCAATAGCTAACTTCTTGCTATGGGGACACTCAAGCAGGCTTGCTCCCGAACTGCATTCCTGTAATTGGACACTGTCCATTCACACAAAAAGCATGGCACGACCTTGCCCCCCCCTCCGCTTTCTCCTCATTCGCTCACTGGGTGTGACTGACAGCGGCAGGAACCAATGGCACTGGCACAATGATGTGTGAGCCAATGAGGAGGGAGAGACACAGCAGAGCCACTACTCTCAAGCACAACAAGATAAGGCTCAGGTGAGCCCAGAAGGTTTTTTTTAATCTTAATGCATTAAAGAGAAGTATGGGCTTCCCCCCCCCCCCGTATTATACTTACCTAGGTGGATGCAGCATCGGTTCACCGCCGGCTCTAAGGGTGAGAACGTGATTGCTGAGTTCTCACAGCAGCTCTGAGCAGAGAGCAGTGACTGTCAGTCACCACTCTCTGCTCTAGCTTCCCAGCACTCACTGGAGCGCTGGGCTTTAGAGGGGAAGGGAGCAGCTCAGTGGCTTGCTGAGAGGCTGAGCCAGGTGCCGCTCCAGAGTCTAGGGTGGATCCCAACTTTAAAGTCGGGATCCTTCCCCAACCTGGACCTGCTGAGTCATTTCAGCCGACAGCGGTCTTCAGCCCACTGTTAGCTGAAAATGTGTCATAGGAGTACAGAACAAACTGCACTCCTGTGATCCACAGATCAGAAAGAAAAAAAAACAAAAAAAAAAACAAAAAACTTTGGTTCTCCTTTAAGGAGAAAAAAAAAACCTCCTTCTGCATTCAGAACCACTTTAAAGCCAGGGACAGCTAGGTCATTGGTATTTTTTTTTGATGCAGGTCAGCGTGCAAATTCCCCTCAGTTTCATTTCAAACTTTCAGTGTGGTGTTGATTGACTCTCTATGTGCTTTTCCCTACAGCCTAACTCTAGAAACATTTCCAACCATTATCTTGAGAACTGTATAGTAATGTCAATATTTACTCGGTGGAGGTTTCATTACAATATCTGCATACCAGCAGGTTCACTATTTATAAAGTGAAAGTCCAACATTGTTCTTCCCTAAGGGCCTTTCCAGGTGCAAACAACAATGCACACTATTCATGCTTATGGGCCTTTAAAACATGTATAGGTGCTGTGATAACAGAGAAACTTTAAGTGTTTACATGGTGCAGATCATAACCACTTCCATGCCGCCCTATAGCAGATATACTGCTACAGGGCAGCACGGGTGCGCAAAATCACATATATGTGAATTTGCGATTCCGGTCAGGGGGCTTGCATGCCATACCCGCGCAGCCATTCGCACCCTCAGCTGTCAATCACTGGGACCCAGCTGGTGATTTCCCCACTGGCAATTGCCGAGTATCGCCGACTGGGGAGAGACCTGTGAATAAACAACACAGATCTCTCCCCTGTCGCCCCATATGTTAACCCCTTCCTGCCCAGTGCCACTAGTACAGTGTCAGCGCTTTTTATTATCACTGATCACTGTACTAGTGTCGCTGGGGATGTCAGTGACACCAAGTCAGTTCCCTCCAGTGTCAGAATGCCCGCCACAGTCCCGCTATAAGTAGCTGATCGCCACCATTACTAGTAAAAATAAATAAATAAAATATAAAAACATTCCAGTATAAATACACCACCATTTGTAAACACTATAACTTTCACTTAAACCAATTAGTTTACACGTATTGGGATTTTTTTTTTTTTTTAGCAAAGACATGTAGCAGAGTACAGTTTGCCCTAAATTTATGGCAAAATTTGATTTTTTTTAATTTTTTACTGGACATGTTTAATAGCAAAAAGTCAAACACATTGTTTTGGGGTTTTTTTTCAAAATGGTATTTTTGTTTATAGCGCAAAAAATAAAAAGCGCACAGGCGATCAAATACTACTGAAAGAAAGCTCTATTTGTGGTGGGGGGGGGGGGGGGGGGGGGGGGAAAGGACGTCAATTTCAATTGGGTTCAGCGTTGCATGACCGCGCAATTGCCAGTTAAAATAATGCAGCTCTGTATCACAAAAGATGGCCTGGTTGGGAAGGGGGGTAAATCCCCTGAAGGGCAAGTGGTTAAAACACACAAAAATGCCCTATGCATGCATTTCGTGTAAGCTTCTGTTCACACTTGTGCCTCTGTATTTACATGTATTTTTTTGCACTTTTTAAACATTTTAATGCACTTTTTGGCCAATGAAAAGCAATGTGTGCTGTGACATCATCTTTCTTGCACCTACGACCAGCTTGTCACATTCTAAATATGGGCACATCTTTCCTGTCTTTCACACTGATGATGGTTTTTTACGCTCATTATTATCTATTTTACTTTGAGATGGAGTTTATTTTATATTTTTATGATCCATCCCAGCTTTAACAGCTCTTAATATTTATCACAGTTTATCTACATTCATTCATGTTGCCATTTTATACCTATTGGGCATTATAGGTTATTATGTTGTTTTTAGCCATGTTTTTATTATTATGGTGTAGAATATTACCTTTATGTATATACATATTTTTATATATGTTTTTCATATTGCTTTTAATTTATCACTATTTTAGTTAATATGTGGTATTTTATGCTTGATTTTATTATATTTCTTTGATTGATTGATTATATTTATTTAGTCATATGTAGTGACAGAGGACATGCTATATATAGAGACAGAGGAAGTGTTTACAATGTGGTTTTGAAAGGAGAGAAGTTTCCCTACCATTTTATTCCATATCTGGCCACTAGGAGGTGATATTACTGTGGCCTCCACCATACCTCTACACTGAGACTAATACCTTGTTATAACCTACCATTAACGGCTCTGGAGTTAACAGATTCATTTGGACTACTTCATATAGAATCGCAAGATGTTTATATGCTCCGTCAATCATTTGCCACTTATCGCTCTTCTCCTGCACTCTGTGTACATCCTTCGGTACTTAATGTTGTCTCAGTCCACAGTAAAATGGCCGACGGGTTGTCTCACTGCACATGCGCGACTTTAGTTCGTGCTCTAGGCATCATAGCCAACAACCTGGCCGCCACGCATGTTAGTGCACATGTGCGCGAAGCCCGCGATGACGCTGCATCGCCAAATGGCTCATTTGCGCCCTAGCATATATAAAGAGACACATGGGACAGGGTCTTCTCCCTTTGAAAATGTGTTGTTACATGAAACGCATTAGGGAGGTACCCTTTCTCATGGAATACTAACTGCATTACCTACTGTCTACCTCAGATGTAAGTGCTGGTTCTTTTTTATCTGTATCTTGATGTTACTCCTTTTTTTTGATCATTAAACATACTACACTATTGGAGTTCTTTCTCTCTGGGCTCATTTTTTTGGCACCGAGAGTCCTTCTTTTATATCTGATATCTATGATGTTAACTTTGTACTATGCCTGTTTATTTCTGAATCATTTAAACAGAACTAACACTATGAGTTCTTTCTTCTCACTGGGACTCGATTTTTTGGGCACCCCCTGAAGGTACCTATCTGGATTCCCATCTGAATGTACGATCCCCCGGATGGCTGGAAATTGCACTGCTGGACGCAGCTAATCTAAGATGTTCACACATTGATGGAGAGTGGAAACCTGGCCTGGATAGATGACAGCTGGTGAGGCACCCCCACCTGATGACCTCATCCGCATGCAGAGTTCCCACCCCCTGAGTACCTAGGAGTAGGTCTTATATACTCCAACGCACATTAATCTGTGCTATCTGGTTAGTGCATAGTATGCTCATTGCTTCCAGCTACAGCAGTCACGAAAGCTAATTGTTGCATATTGTGTCACCACAGTCACATTATACCACATGAACTATATTCAAGACTGTACTTTCGTTGTTTTGTGATACCATTTGTGTATTATAAATATGATATAGCGCTGCATTTCTACTATTATTTTTTTGGCATATCTTGGAGGATTTGAGGTTGTTTCCTCTTCTATGCTGGCTGCTTCCCCCTGCTTTTCCTGCTATCACCCAGCGCTCATATTTTATTGTTTATACTATTCTCCTTGTTAAGAAAAAGGCTACAGGAAGCATGCTGTAAAAGCAACAGAAACTGGCTTTAAAGACAAAAGAAACAGATATTGGCTTCAAAGAGAAAAACAATGCTGTTAGTTGGAGCTTGTATTTATTTATATATATATATATATATATATATATATATATATATATATATATTACATACATTGTGACATGGGGGATGATTAGCTCTTGTCGTAGATGCTTTCCGAGTCTACGCTAGTCAGAAACTCTTTTTCAGGGCTTGGTAGCCCACTTTTATTAAAAGGCAAGAAACAAAAACACAAAAGTTCAAAATAAGCTTTCCCACACAGGGGTTCCTCTCCAGTGGTAAATACCAATGAAAAATGCTAAGCCTCCTGGCTACTTATTAGCACTGCTGGTCAGCGGTACCTCTGCTGGTATGGGTCTCCCAGACTACTGGCTATTCCTGGTGCACCACCTCTGACTTCTTTAAACACACACAGCCTTGAGCCCTTTTGATGCACACAGCCTTGAGCCCTTTTGATGCACACAGCCTTGAGCCCCTTTTGATGCACACAGCCTTGAGCCCTTTTGATGCACACAGCATCCATCTCACACAGAGTCTCACAATGGTAGCAACTGCAGTACACTCCCCCCTGCAACTCTCAGCAGACCATAGTTATAAGGGCTGTGAGCACCTGGGCCCACACCCTGCTGATTGACTACAAAATCTGCACACTGGATTAGAGATCTCTTCCCTCCCAAGGCACTTTGAAATCTCCAAACTACGGAGCCCCATCCAGAAATATCAAAATCCGGAGAACCCTGCAACAGCAGTTTTCCACTCAAAACCTACGCTCCGCAGTTCTGCACTCTGTACATGTGCAGACCTTGTGTCCATTACCTGACCACTTCTACCTATTTTTATCCTGTGACAGGGCCCTGCACTCAGGGGCAGACTGACCATTCGGGTTCTCGGGCACTGCCTGAGGGCGTGGTGGGGTGGTGGGGTTGGGTTGGGGGGGGGGGGTGGGGGTAGGTTGGGGGTGGGGGGGGTGGGGGGGGGGTTTGGGGTGTGGGGGGTTTGGGGGGGGGGTGGGGGGGGGGTATCCCAGGGTCAGCAGGGGGCCCCATGAGATGCCCCTGGTACCTTTCATAGGCTTTTTGGGTGTGGTTTAAGTGTGGGTGAGGACACAGGGGTCCCATAATCCCCTATTGCCCGGGGGCCCTATGATCCCCTATTGCCCGGTGGCCCAATGTGTTGTCAGTCCGCCCCTGCCTGCACTGTATAGAGAGAGAGAGAGAGAGAGAGAGAGCACTACCCCCTTAGGAGTCGCTGAGCTTCGGTCCCCCTAAAGCTCTGCAGAGCCAGGCAAAATTTATTTTTCCACACTTTGCATTTAGAGTCAGTAAACAGTCCTTGAGCTTGGTTTTGTGATTTTAATAAGATTTTAACAATTCGGATGGGGTCTAGGGGTACACGGGATGCCCAAGGGAACTGTAAACTTGAGGACAACATTTCTGCCAACTATGTACAAAATATGGATAGCAACAGTCTCTCTGTAAGGGGTGCTAAATCCCCTTCAGGGTACCTATTCAGACCCTGGATGATTCTCCTCTTCACCCAGCCTCCTTGAGGGTATCCCTGAGCAAGAGGGCCCAGAAGCTGCAGTTTTAGAACAGTCCCGGATGAATACTAGTTGGGTATTGCACCTGACCACCCTCTCCCCTTATCTGGCCCAGGGGGTGTAAGAGTACTCACTCTGTCCTTTCCTGCTTGCTTGGTGGGTTGGTAGCTTCCTTCAGGCCTTATGCTGTGCTGACTCCTTCCCTGCTCCATAGGCCATCCTCCCAAAGAGACTATGAGACTGTGGAGATCCTCTCCTTGGGGCCCCCTCCCAGGCTCCACATTCCAGCCCCTCATTCCATCTTCCGCCCTGCCTCCTCCCAGGCTCTGTAATACTTAAGGCTTGCCTTGGTCTCCATGCCCCGCCTCCTGCAAGAAGATTGGCCAAAGTCCCTCAAGTATGCAGATCCGAGCCTCCTCCCCCTTGGTCCCTGAGCGCTTTCTGGAGAGGTGAGAGGGCTCCTGAAGCTCTGACCTTCAGAACCTCCCTAGCCTGTCCTGAAGTGAACTCCTGCCTCACTCGCAGGCTGACTCATCCCATGCTGCTACTCAGCCTCTGACTGACAAAAATACTACCTAGCTAACATGGAGGGCAGTAGATATATATATATATATATTTACACACACATTTTTTTCCTTTCTTTCTTTTTTTCAGTTGTGCAGTGCAAAGCCCAAAGCCTGGTTTATGTTGCTGAGTTTAGGACTTTTACAAATATACAATACAAAACGTGAATTTACTTTAATATTTGTTCGGATTGATCGTGCTATGTTCGGTTTCCCTTTGAGGTCAAATTTCCATTTACCCTAAGGAAAATATATTTGATTCTAAAGACATCTGCATACAAAATGCAAACATATTTGTACAGGAAAAAGCAAAGGCCAATATCTTAAAGTATATCTAAAGAACTTTTT